CCGCGTGCCGGTGGTAGGCGTCGGACGAAGACCGGGGAAACTTTGGAGGCAAAAGGGGCTCCGGGCACAGCCCGGGAGGAGAGTGGCGCCGGGCAGCGCGGTGTGGCGGCGGCACGGGTGTGGACAGTTTACGGCAATTTGCTGGGGCCGGGACGGACCCCAGCGCACCAGGTCCTGGCTTCAGCGCCCAGGACCGCGAAGAACAAACAAAAACTATTGATATGTGAATAAGGGGTGGGGAATATGGTAAGAGGTTGGTTAATGAGCGCGGTTGGAAAGAGACTTAACTTCTAGTGACCGATAGCGCGGGAGTAAAGTTAACAACAGTTAAGGGTATACCTGTTTCAGAGGGGCAAGATGAGAGGATTTTGAATGTTCCCAACACAAAGAAATGATAAAACACAAATAACTGGACCGCGTGGTGGGTATACCTATAATCAGCTACTCAGGAGGCTAACAAGTTGAAGGCCAGACCCTGTCTCAAAATATAAAATAAAAAGGGCTGGGGATGTTGCTCAGTGTGAGGCTTGGGTGCATTCTCCAGTACGTGGGGGAAAAAATGAGGTGACGGATACGACAGTTACTCAGATCTGATTATTATTGTGTACATGTATGGATCGTCACACTGTGCCCCTTAAATACGTATCAATTTAAAGAAAAAAATGTATTATGAATAGTACATTTAAATATGATTTATTTTTTCACCATCTTTTGGGCTGCTGGGGATTGAACCCAGGGCCTTGAACATGCTAAGCATATGCTCTGCCACTGAATTACACCCCTAGCCTAAATGTAATGTTTTTAAAACAACGTGGGTGTGTTCTGTAGTTTACAGAGGAAAGGGATTCTGTGCTTCGAGTTTATCCTTCCAGCACTTCTGCTGATCATTACCCTTCTCTCGCCAAAGAGAAGAGCAAAGCTCAGAGAGGTTAAGTAACTTGTTCTGGCTGTGATTAGTGGAGTTGGGATCAAATCCTCTCAGGCTGACCCAAGCATTTTTCTACCTACTGAGCATGGTGCATGATGGGTCCTGTTATCACCGTTACAGAGGCGGACCCTGAGAGTCAGGGAGATGAAACAGCTTGCCTATCCTACCTTCCCCATGGTTCCATGTGGCTGGCAATAAGCAAGAGCCCAAATCAAAACAGGATGTCTGGATCCAAGTAGAAAGTGAATGAAAGAGCAGCTGCAAGAGGAAGTTTGATACTTTAAAATTATTTTTAGGGCTGGGGTGTAGCTCACTGGTAGGGCACTTGCCTAAGATGGGAGAGACCCTGGAAAAAAGAAAATGTTAACAGAAATGTTAACAGTAAAATGTTAAAGAAATGGTAACAGTAAATATTTATGCTGACAGTGTCTTGTAAGTATATGAATGTGGGGCTGTACCTCTTTGCTCTTCTTAGTTTAAGTCTTTGGGCTTTGGGAGCAGTACTGGGGGAAGAAGGGGCTCTCTCTCCCCCTCACTGCTCCCCTGGTAGCCCGGCCAGCCCCAGGCTCCAGTCACTTTGCTCTTCCACCTCCACTGTGTCCCCACTAGCTTGCACAGTTGATCCGGGAGGCGGGGCTGGGTGTGCTATTTGGAAGCTGTCAGCAAGGAGAGTAGAGACTGATGCCAGATCAAGAATCAGACCGGGTGTGAGCGGTCCAGAATTCCACACCCACTTCATGTTTCTGTGACTGAAATGAAACTCTGGTCCCTTAGGGTCTGTGGAGGTGGCTGCCTCAGAAACAACCTGTGGGGAACTTCTGCTGTCTCCCTGGACTGCGGCTTGTGTGGGGACAGTATGAGCTGGATGGGGACTTTAGGTCAGGCTGTTTGTTGTTGCTGGGCCCTGGTCGGGAGTGAAGTTAGCTTGGAGACACTGTGGGCTTCCTTCTGCCTAGGATTACCTACAGGACTCCCAACCACTGCCACCACACAGTATTAGGAGAGGGCTACAGGGAGAGTCACAAAACTCTAGAATGTGTTGGGGAGAGGGTGGGCATTCTCTTGTGGAAGGCTTGGTCAAGGAATCTGGGTATAGAGAAGTGAGGAAAAACTGGGGGTGTTCTGGGAGACTGATGCAGGATTCCAAACTTAAGCCCAGCCTGGGCAACTTAGTGATTTACAGAGCCTCAAAAGTAAAAAATAAAAAAGCGGGCCAAGGATTTAGCTCAGTGGTTCTGCTGCCTGCCTTGCAAGCCCTAGGACCAAGTTCAATCCCCGGTACCAAAAAAATAAAAAAGTAAAAAAGGGCTGGGGATGAGGCTTAGTGTAGTGGCCCTAAATTCAGTCTCCAGTACTGGGGAAAAATTTAAAAAGTAAGAGAAGAGAAGTGAGGAGTCAACAGGTCTGGCCCCCAGCCCCCAGCCACATCCAGTTCAGGGCTTGGTTGAAATACCTAAACCTCATTCTAGCCAAAGCCAAAACCTTGGATTTGGAGCCTGACCCCGAGGTAAATGAAAACCACACCTCTTTGCACCTGGTGAGGGAGTTGACCCCCATACCCCTGCTGTGGTCAGCACCCCCACATCCCCTTTCCTGGTGGCATCAGCAGCCCTTGTTCCCGGGCCAGTTTCAGGGCTGCAGAGAACTGGGAGTCAGAAGGGTCAGAAGGTGGCTGCACCAGAAGTGGGGCAGGGCCAGGCTGGCAGCAGAGTGCAGAACAGTTGTCAGCAGGGAGGCCCCGCTGGAGCCAGGCAGGCAGGGGCATGATGGGTTTGGTTCCCACTCCCGCCCAGACATGAAAGGAGCAAAGCTCTGGCAAAATGCAGGGAGTTCACCAGGCCTGGGCCTCAGGAGAGTTTGGGGCAGGGAGCAGAGGGCAGAGGCTTCAAGAAGCTCTTATCCTGACCAGCCCTGCAGTGGGAACACACTTTGGCCTGGGGAGTCTCACTTGAAGGACTCTGTCCCATCACTGTAAAAGCTTTATGAACAAAATGTTATTTATGTATGGGGAAAACCTCAGAAACTACCTATATGTCTCCCCAAATAAGCAAATGACTGATTGAGATACAGTTATGCAGATGTTAAAAGTGTTTATGGTATTAAAATCCAGTAAGTAAAAAGATACAAGGTATGAGTAGAGAAAAAAATAAACAGGCATAGAAGGCAAAAGCCTGGAAGGAGTTCTGGAGGCTGGAGGTCCAGTGTCAAGGTGATGGCAGGGCCCTGCTCCATTCCAAACCTGTCCAGAGAACTCTCCCCCTGCCTGATCAAGCTTTGCATCTTGGAGATAAAACACTCATCACGTGACCATGTGCTCTGTGTCTGTCATTCAGCATCTAAATTGTCCACTTCCTGCAGGGACATCAGTCATATTGGATTTGTGTGCACCCTATTCTAGTGTTACCTCATTTTAACTTGATTACAGCTACAAAGACTTTTTACATATGAGATCACATTAACAGGTACTGGAGGTTCGGATTTAAACTTTTGGGGAGACACAATTCAACCCTTAAAAAGTACCATCTCTGCTTTTTGGGGATTGTAGGGCCTTGGACAAGGCCTTTCTGGGCCCCAATTCTTTGTCTTTAGAGTGTAGAGTAGGTCTTTTCTAGGGCCTTCTCTAGCTCTGGCATTCTGTGCCTCTTAAGCTCAGCCCTGAGTTTCACCCCAGCTATGGGCTCCCCTCCTTTCTCCTAAAGGGGCTTCTAGGACAGCAAGCTACTCTTGCTTTCAGTCATCCTCTGGTCCCAGACAGGGTACCTGAAATTGCAGGTAGAGGAACAACTGGATTCCTTTGTAGTTCATACCAGTTTCCTGGCCCCTGATCCGTTTTGCCTAGTGACTTAGGACTAGTCACAGCCCATGTGAACCGTATGGCTTCCCTGCAGATCAGGGACACTGGGTGCATGTGCACCAGTTTTGTGGATTATCCCAGAAGCCTCGTCTCACCTGCTTCATTCAGTTGTTCTGCCATACCATGGTCAGAATGATCTCTTTAACACAAGAACCTAAATTGTTACGCTTCTGCTTAAAATTTGGGAGGAATTTTACAGTATAGCGTTCAAACTGCCATACAGAACCTGAAGCCACATTGGTAAGATGTGGTCCCTGTCACTTCCTCTGTCCCTTCCCCTCAAGCCTGAGTGCCTAAGACATACAGAGCTACAAGGGAATTTCCCCAAAGTGTCAACATTGCTTTTTTCAATGCTGGGCACAGTACCAGGGCCTTGTGTGTGTTAGGCAAGCGCTCTCCCATGAGCTCCACTGCCAGCCCTGGCCATGGCTCTGTGCCCACCCTTGCCAGTCTTCCTGATCTGTATCAACTTCTCCAGGGAATATGCCTGACCTGACCCGCAACTCCTGAGGGTCAGGTGTCCAGGAAGCCCAGCTGTAAGACTCCAACTCAGGTCTGTCAAGCTGTTGTAGCCAAGATGTCCCTGCATGGCAGTCACCTGATGGGTCCACTCCAAATTCATACACGTGGCTGTTGCCTGAGGCCTCAGTTCCTTATCTGTAAGGCTGCTTGTGACAAGGAGCCCTCCGCACTCCAGTGAATGACTGGAGGCAGGGGTGGGGTGGGGTTGGGGATAGAGCCTGTAAGCTACAGCAGTCTTTTATAATAATGTCAAGGCTACAGTAATCTTTGCCATACTGTCCCTCTCCGCATTCTGTGAGTCACCTTTGCAACCCTTGCAAAAAAGTGGGTGGAGGCCGGACAAGGGAATGAGTACAAGAAGGGAGGAATCATTGGGGGGTGTCCCACCAATCTTTATTTTTTTTTCCTGTACAAGCTGTTGAACCAGGATTGCACTGAGCTACACCCCCAGCCATTATTATTTTGAAACAGGGTCTCACTAAGTTGCTAAATTTTCTAGGCTAGGCTTGAAATTACGATCTTTTTGCCTCACCTTCCCATGGTGCTAGGATCATAGGTGTGCAGCACCACTGGGTCCCGTCAATTATTTGACCTGGAATTTTATTTACCCCGATGGATTAGTTTTCCATTTCCTCCTCTGGCATGGGCCAGAGTTTTGTTCATCTTTGTCTTAGTCATTGATAGAACAGATGAAGAAATGATTTTCCCAAATAGCTTACCAGTATTTTTGAGTTAGAAAATTTAAATTAATATTCCCACTATAAAAATAATATATTCTAGGGGCAGGGAGTATAGCTCAGTGGTAGAATGCTTACCTAGCATGCTCAAGGGCACAAGTTCCATCCCTAACACTGCCAAAAATATAAAAATAAAAATTATTATTATTAAATAGTATTAAAAACAAACCAACAGGATAGCACTCAAGGGTGTAAAATGAAAAACAAATTTCCATTCTTGTTTTTTTCTTTTTGGCACTGGTGATCGAACTCAGGACCTTGTGCTTGTGAGGTAGGCAGTGGAACCACTTAGCTAAATCCCTGGCCCACAAATTTCCATTCTTTTCTCCCTGTATCCAGTCTTAACACTATTGAGGTTATCATTTATTAATATTTGTGGAGTATCTTTACAGAAATTTTCTAATGTGCTAGAAATACTTAGGTCCTGGAAATATTAAATATTTAGATATATTTTCTAAAATACTACTGGGAGTTGGGTGTGGTAGTGCATACATGTAATGCCAGCCCTCTGGGAGGCTGAGGCAGGATCACAAGCTTGAATTCAGCTAGGGCAGTTTAGCAACTTAACAAGACCCTGTTTCTCAAAATAAAAGAATAGGGTATGAGCACGATCTGGTTGTAACATCTGTCACCCCATTGGTCATCAGGGTTGATTCAGTTGATCTGGCTGGCTAGGCAGATAGCCCCTTCTTCCCCCACTGCTCCCTCTATGTCCTTCCTGAAGATGCATGCTTGGCCAAAGAGGACAACTATCCCTGATAGAGGAGGACCATTCCCTTAGTCAGAGTTGTACGAGTAACTGTGCTTGCCTGCTAGAACCTCCAAACAAGCTCTCAAAATGAGAAAATAAAACAGGGATAGAGATGTAGCCCAGAGCAAAGGCCTTGGATTCAATCCCCCGCCCAAATCCTACTAAATTACAGTATTTTATGTATCACGAAGTATTGGCCACAGGGTTTGCCCATGTTAAAGGACATTGCCACTGATTATCAGTGGCTGAAATTGTTGCACCTGTTCTTGTGGGGGTCAGGTGGGGGCCTGTCATCTGTTAGGATGAGAACCTCCCTGTTGTAATCGCCAATATTGTTATATACCAGGTACCATATTGTTATACATTTTGATTGTTTTCCATTTTTTCACTATATAAGCAATAATCCTGTGTTACAACACATAAAAAACTTTTCCATATTATAGATTATTTACTTAGGTAGCACAGACAGGGAAGTGGAATTATTTGGTTAAAAGGTTATTGTTTGAGGTTGTTGTTTGAATTTTTTCCCTGTATAATAAATCCTTTCTCACTGGCCTTTTCCTCAGGCATTTGACCTTTGCTATTAGAGGTTTTCTTGAGACAGGATCTTGCCATGCAGTTCAGGCTGGCCTTGAACTTACTGTGTAGGCCAAGCTGGCCTCCAACTCATGGTGATCCTCCTTTCTCAGCCTCCCAAGTGCTGCAATTACAGGTGTTTTCCACCACCCTAGGCGTTCAGTTAGGATTTTTAATTGTACATTACACATTCTATTGTAGTCAGTTTGAACAGGAAGAGATTATTAAATAACTCAGGAATATTTGAGAGACTGGAGAATCAGTTTGGAAATCTATACAGCCATGGATAATGCAGGCAGATGAAACACTGAGGGACTTCCTGAATCACTAAGTTTCCCAGGTAGGACTTAACTTTTGACCCACCCACCTCCTTCTCAGTAGAAGCTATAGACATGTGCTCAGATGGGTGTTACTTATTTCTATTGGAAGATTTTCTACTGGCAGAATGACTGCTGACATTGTTTAACACTGTTCCAAGGTTTGGGTGTCAGAAGAAACTCTTCTGCTACTGCTGTCGTTGCCAAAGATTCCTGTTTCTCTTGTTTGGCTACTGCCAGCTGTGCACCAATGCTTTATGTCTAGGATCAGCATAACTTGGTCACCTACCTATTCTTAAGTGCAAAGGATTCTGGCAAGTGTATTACTTGGTCCAGGAAAATACAACATCTCTACATTTTGTTTTGTTCTGCTCAGCATCTGTTGGTTGCATTTTTCTCCACTTACATCTCCAGCACTCTTCTTCTTTCCCACTGTATTAGTTTGCTGAGGCCGTTATCATGAAATATCACTGACAGGGTGGCTTAAACAACAGAGATTTATTTCTTAGAGTTCTGGATGATGGAAGTCCAAGATCAAGGTGCTGGCAGGGTTGATTCCTCTGAGGTTTCTCTTGGCTTGCAGGTGGCTCCCTTCTTGCTGGGTCTGCTGCACGTGGCTTTTCCCATGTGTGGGCCCATCCCTGGCACTTTGTGTGTGTCTACATCTTTTTCTCTAGGGACACCAGATTTGAGTAGGATCCAACCTAATGGCCCATTTTAACTCAATTACTTCCTTAAATCTCTGTCTCCAAATTGTCCCATTCTGTGGTATTCGGATTAGGGCTTCAACATTTGCATTTTGGCCAGGGGTGGGGGGACCACACGCTTCAGCCCCTATCACCTGTATTTGAAGGTTTAAGATTATTTTGCCCTCTCTTCTTTGCCTGTGCCAGCACCTGTACCATCAACAGACTGCATCCTCCTCCCCACTTACATGCCGGTAACTAACTGCCTTGAATTCTTCAGCATGCAGACAACCTGGCTCAGCCCTGCAGGTGCTGCCCTGAGACCCCCAGTTGGGGCTCAGAGGGAGTGGGAACCCGGGACTGGGACTATAAATTAGAGAGAAAGCAAAAAGAGAACACTTGTCAGGTGAGCTTTGCTGTGAGCTTCATTGGGTTGCTGCAGTACATTCTGTTTGAGCTTACATCTGTGCCCACAAGTCACGATTGTATACACAAACAACTCCAGCGCAGGTGGTTTGTCCATAATTTCTGGCTCCCTAAAGGCTCTCAGTACCTGCTGAATATGGTGTGAGATCATAGTGCCATAGATGTGAGAACAGAAGGGGCCTTTGATATGAATGCCTGCTTGGTAAAGGAATGAATGAATTAAGGAGGTGGTCTTCGACTCACACAAAGCACATCTCTCTGGGTGAGAACTTCATCATGAATTGCACCCTGCTTGCAGCTGTACTAGGGAGGTTCTTTGTGCACCACACTTTTTTTTCTGACCCTCTACAGATGTCCCCTGTATGTTGGTCTCTTCTACAAACTGGGTCTCTGCCTTCACCTGACTCCTGTCCGTTGGCTCCATGACCCACCTGAGCACCTCCAAAACTACCCTGCCTTTGGTGCCTGCCACAGCTGGCTGGTGACTGGTAGGCCCTTAGCACTGCAGACTCATGGAGGCTTCAACTTGCAAATTAATTATGGTTGTTACAGAATGTTTCAAAGAAATTTAAATGGTTTGAGAAAATGCTCAGCAAGGATAAGACAAAAACTAGAAAATAAAACTATAAATAATATCCTAATTGAGGAAAAAATAAAGTAAAAACAAATGAAAAAAAGACTAGAAGGGTATATCAAGTATCAACAATAGCTGCCTCCTGACACTGTAGCAGGATTACATGTGAGTGATTTTTTTGTTGTTGTTGTGGTACTGGGGATTGAACCCAGGGCCTTTGCACTGAGCAACATCCCCAGACCTTTTTTATTTTTTATTTTGAGATAGGCTCTCACTAAGTTACCAAAAAAGCTGGGCTGGAACTTGTGATCCTCCTGCTTCAGCTTCTCAGAGTGCTAAGATTAGAGGTGTGCACCACCATGCTCTTTTTTTTTTCTTTGTTTTTTTTAGTGCTTTGCAGTTTAAGATTTATGACCAGAAAAAACAAAACAAAACACTTTTTTTTAATATAAGAAAAAAAAAGATATGACCAGGAAGGCCGGGGATTTAGCTTAGTGGTGCTGTTGCCCGCCTTGCAAGTGCAAGGTCCCGAGTTTGATCCTTGGTACCAAGAAAAAAAAAAAGATTCATGACCACAGATTGGGATGGGGGTGTTGCAGCACAGCAGTAGAGTGCTTGTCTAGTATGTGAAAGGTCCTGGGATTGATCCCCAATGCCACTACCACAAGAAAAGTAAAACAAGAAAGAGATTTAAAAAAAAAAACAAAACTGAAAAAATGCCAGTGGCAACTAGAAGATCAGTGCTGAAGGCCTCTGTACTGAAGACTCCTGCAGTTAGATTCTAGTATCCTGCCAAATATATGATTCAGGCCTGAGAAATAAAACTAAAAGACAGAGGTAAGAGAGAAAGCGGGCACCAGGACAACCTAGGCTGGTGCAGCTGACAAAGGTGCTGGCCAGCCCAAGCCACTGATTTTTATTGGCAGTCAATTGAGGTAAAAGTGAGCTACATGCAAGGACAGAACTATGTGTGAGGAGGTACAGTCGTGCTGTTTCTATGGAAATTAATATAAAGGCTTATAAAGGATAAGACAAAACATTCTCAAATTAGGAACAGAACAGACGAAATGTGCAGTTGTAATTAGAACATTGTCTTTTTAATAAGATTTTAGTTGTGGGAATGGAATTTGGGTGCAACTTACTCTGACCTCAGCGCATAGGCTTTAGGCTTTGGCTGGACTCAGTTTTATAAACAAGCCAATTATAGGGTTAACTCTTTACAGCCTGCACTGCTTATGACCTGCTGTGGGCATAATCAGTATTGTAGTGTCCTGCACCTTTGCATACTCAAAAGAGATGACCAAGAGAGAGCCAGTCAAAAATATTGCTCTCTCCCTCTTTGGACAGATGTTTCCATGGTGTAGTTTGATTGCCTGGGCGACAATCACCTTTCTCTGAACACAGTATCCTCCCTCCACTGCCTCATCTCAGGGCTTTCCTGTCTGTCCACAGGGCCACATTGTCCATAACTGGAAGGTGCGATGGTTCATCCTTCGGCAGAACACGCTGCTGTACTACAAACTCGAGGCAGGTCGGAAAGTGACCCCTCCCAAGGGCCGGATCCTCCTGGATGGCTGCACCATCACCTGCCCCTGCCTGGAGTATGAAAACCGGCCGGTACGTGAAGGCCCTTGCTGCCCAGCTCCCTGCCCCAGACACGTTCCACCTGGGGCCTCTTTGGGGAAGGTGGTGGGGTGCTTAGTGGGGAAAACTCAGAGTTGTAACTGAAAATCTTGAATTCACATCCTGACTCCAACATGTACCAGATGTGTGACTGTGGGCAAGTGGTTAAACCCCTCTGAGCCTTCCTTCATTGTGTGTGAGGTGATATAAAATAATTATACCTGAGTAACTCACACAGTTGTGACAAGAATGATGAAGGTAATAGTCTGTTAAGGCATGTAAGCTAGGATGATGCAGGCACTGCACAAATGTGAGTGTTATTGCTATCTTGAGATTCACTGTGATGTTTTCATTTCCTGGGTGGTAATGTGTTTTAGAAGTGAAGGATGCAGGGTAAAAGTCAACACACAAAAATCAATAGCATTCCTGTACACCAACAATGAACCCCTCAAGAAAGAAATAAGGAAAACAGTTGTGTTCACAGTAACTGCAAAAAAAATTAAATATCTAGGATTAATATAGCCAAGGAAGTGAAAGACCTCTAAAATGCTACAGTCCTGGGAAAAGAAGGATTGAAAAGAACATCAGAAAATGGAAAGATAGGATTGTTCATTTTGGCAGAACCAGTATCGAAATAGCCAAAATGATACACAGATTTAATGCAATCCCAATCGAAATTCCAACAGCATTCTTCACTGAACTGGAGAGAAAAGCTAAAATTCATGTGGAGCTAGGTGTGGTGGTGCATGCCTATAATCTTAGCATTAGGGAAGCTGAGACAGGAAGATTGCAGCAAGCTCGAGGTCAGTTTGGGCTGCATAAGGAGTTCAAGGCCAGCCTGGAATATGCAGCAAGGCCCTGTGTCAAAAAACCAAAACCAAACCAAAACAAAACAACAAAAAAATGGAAAACACCCAAAAATTCATATGGAACTAGAAGAGACCCAGAAAAGCAAAAACAGTTCTAGGTAAAAAGACCGAAGTAGGAAGCATTACAATCCTGGACTTGAAGTTATATTACAAAGTTATGGTGATAAAAACAGCATGACACTGGCACAAAAATTGTCATGAGGATGAAGAAAGAGAGTAGATGATGCATAAACAACTCCACGTATATTCAACTATTTTATCTTTGACAGAGGGACCAACAACATACTCTGGAGGAAAGACAGCCTCTTTAATAAATGGTGTTGGGAAAACTGGCTATCTATATGCAGAAGATGACATCTAGACCCATATCTTTCACCATGTAGTAAATTAAAATCAAAACGGATTAAAGAATTAAATGTTAAAGCAAAAAATATTTAAACTGCTAGAAGGCAAAAGAGATAAAACTCTCTTGAAATCATAGGTAGAGATAAGGACTTTCTGTCTATGTTCAGATCTCAGAACAGATCCATGAGATTCCTGATCACAGAGGAAATAGTAATGAGAATCAACAAATGGAATCATATCAAATTAAAAAGCTTCTGCACAGCAAAAGAAACAACCAACAGAATGAAAAGAAAACATACAAAATGGGAAAAAAATTTTGCCAACTGTATGTCAGGGGATTAATATCTAGAATATATGAAAAACTATAAAATTTCCCAGGCCTTAGCACATGCCTGTAATCCCAGCACTCAGGAGGTCAAGGCAGGAGGATCCCTGTGAGTTCAAGGCCAACCTGAACTACATAGTGAAACCTTGTCTCAAAAAAAAAATTAGACTCTCAAAAATAAAAGACCCAATCAAAACATGGGCAAGAGGAATGAATAGACACTTCACAGAAGAATTATATATGGCCAATAAATACATGAAGAAATGCTCAGCATCAGAATAAGACTGAGATCCCATCTTACCCTAGAAAGAATGGTCATTATAAAAAAAACAATAACAAATGCTGGAGAGGCTGTGGGGGAAAAAGGGATCCTTCTACACTGTTGCTGGAAATGTAAACTTGTACAGCCACTATGAAAGTCAATATAGAGATTCTTCAAAAACCAAAGTAGAGGGCTGGGGATTTAGCTCAGTGGTTCACTACCTGCCTCACAAGCTCAAGGTCCCAAGTTCGAATCCTGGTACCAAAAAAAATAGAAATTCTGTTTGACCCAACTAGTCTCTTAAGTATCTTCCTGAAAGAGTTAAAGACATCATATTACAGTGATACATGCATACCCACGTTTATAGCAGCATGATTCATAACAGCTAAATTTTGGAAGTGGCCTATATGTCCATCGACAGATGAGTGGACAAATAAAATATATGCAATAGAATAAATAAATAAATAAATAAATAAATATAGTAATATGTTGTATATATAAATACACAATGGAGTACTACTCTGCCATAAAGAAAGATAAACTTGAGTCATTTGTAGGAAAATACATGCACTTGAGACCATAATGTTAAGCAAAATAAATCAGACACACATGTTTAAATATCACATAAGGTTTTTTTCTCTGTACCAGGGATCAAATTCAGGACCTTGCCTTGTGCGTCAGGTGCGGTGCCAGTGAGCTAAATCCCTGGGCCTCACATGTTTTCTTTTATATAGGAAACCCAAAGTATAAATAAAGAGCAAATTAAAGATAGGTAATAGGAAGTAGGGAGAGAGGTGCTTCTCAGATGGGAAGCGGATCAAGAGATGGAGGGGCAGAGAAGGAGAGGAGGGAGAGGGGATGGTCACGGGAGTTAAGACGTGCTATGGAAATAGTCAGTAGGCCGCAATCAAGCTTGTGGTCTCAAGGAATGGAGTCATGAACCAAAAGGGGAAGTTAGAGTTTTTATCGGAAATGCGGAGAAGAAAAAATGCCCCTGGTTTCTCCGGGAAGGGAATCTGCAAAGTGGGATTTCCACTTGGCCCCTTGGTGCAGAAGTTTTTATGGGTTTGGACCCCTTGAGAATTGCTCAGTTGTTTAGTGACCACCTGTCACAGGTGGCGCTGTGGACTTAACCAATCAGAACCCAGCTCTCTAGCCCAGATACTCACTAGGTAGGGATTAAAGGAAAGACGTTTTAAAGAAAAACTGGTTATTTTGCATTTTAAGTTCCTGGGAACTCAAGAACTTAGTAGGGAGAGGCTGTATCTCCTTTTGGTAGGGAAGGCGCTGCATTCCATGTTGCCTGAGAAAGTTCAATCTCTTGCAAAATCCTAGTTCACTGTCTACTTTTATTTGAATTTTTTTTTGGTTTGGTACCTGGGATCTAACTCAGGACCTTGTGCTTGGGAGGCAACCCTTATTTTAACTCTTATCAATATGGCTGGTCACCCAATTCTATCTCGCCCTTCCCCTATGCTACTTACTCATCAGCTAAACTAGAGAAACTGTTTTTTACATTATGTACATATACAAGTAAGAATAAGGGAAGGCATGCCTGTAATCCTAGCCTCCTGGAGGCTGGGCAAGAGGATTGCAAGTTCCAACCCAACCTGGGCAACTTAGCAAGACCCTGTCTATAAATAAATAAGGACTGGGGATGTAGCTCAGTGTGAAGGCCCTGTGTTCAATTCCAAGTAACAGAGGAGAGGAGAGAAGGAGGGAGGGAGGGGGAGAGCCAGAGACTGAACACTGTGGTGTGTGCCTGTAGTCCCACTACTTTCAAGGGTGAGCTGGAAGGATTTCTTGAGACCAGAGGTCTGAGACCAGCCTGGGCAACATAGTGAGATCCCACGAATTAGAGAAAATAATTTGGTTGAAATTGGGAACTTTTAGTCTTAAACAGCCATCATTTTTTTCATATGAACCTTAGATATGGAATGAGGCAGAGTTTCAGAGACTTAGCTGATTTATTTATACATTTCTATACAGCAAGGTTGTGTATTGATTTAGGTAGGAAGGGAAGAAAGATTGCAAGCATTTTCAGAATGAATTTACAAGTAACTGTTGTAAAGTTTATTTAATAAAATTGTATGTTTTTAAAAAAATGTCATTCCAATTTAGGAGGCTGCCCAGGTTAAATGTCAGGGTTTGTTTGGTTTTGCTTTGTTTCTTGAGACAGGGTCTTACTATGTAGTTCAGGCTGGCTTGGAACTGACTGTGTAGCCCAGACCAGCTTCGAACTTGCTGCCATCCTCCTGCCTCAGCCTCCTGAGGGCTGGGATTGCAGGTAAGTGCTACCATGCCCAGCTTGCAATGTGAGTTATTGCTGTCACACGTCCAGAGGTGCCGCTGAATGAAGTGAGGCGCCAAGCAGCGCTGTCTCTGTCAGCCTGCAGTAGGACAGCTAGAGATGCTGAGCCCGGGAAGGACGGACTCTGCTGCTCTTCCGTTAGCATTGTAAGGCTGAGCACGGTGTCTCAGTGAGTGCTCAGTAAATGTCCTCTGAATAAATATGAAACAATCAAGACAGATCTATAAATAGGATGATTTTAAGAAGAAAACTTGTTTTTTGGGCAAATTTAAGACTCTGGGTCTTCAAGGGGAAAAAATGAGAACCAAGACCTGTCACGTAAAGGTACAAGATCCCAATAATGAATGTAACTGTACTGTGTACCTAAAATGTACCAGTAAACTCAATAAATAAATAAAAGACTCTGGGTCTTCAAGGGGAAAAAATGAGAACCAAGACCTGTCACGTAAAGGTACAAGATCCCAATAATGAATGTAACTGTACTGTGTACCTAAAATGTACCAGTAAACTCAATAAATAAATAAAAGACTCTGGGTCTTGGTAAATGAGGTCCCCACACTCACAGGCGAATTGCTGACCTGTTGTCCCCGAGTTATCTTTAGGAAACTGGCAAGCTGATGGGTTGGAGATGGGAAACTGGTCTAAGTTCCTGTGAAGTCTACATAAAATTCTCAGATTGTCATCTTCCCGGGATTTATTTTAGTTAACTAAATTTAAATTTATTTAAATAATTTTAGTTAATTGACAGTACTGGGATCAAACCCAGGGCCTCGTGTATGCTAAGCAAGGGCTGGGCCCTGAGCTCCCAGGCCCTGCCTGGACCTGGAGTACTTGGGTTGGAAGAGATGAGAGGACCCAACAGGCTCACTGTGACCAAGCCAGAAAGTGTGCGTGTCTATGTGTGTTTATATGTGTGTACATGTGTGGCCTTGTGTAGGTCAGGGAAATGATACAGCGATTGTGCCTGGATTTCATTTGGAGTTGTCCAGCCTCTTCCGTGACTTTCTATTTCAGTGGTGAATTGTGACTGGCAGCTCGGGGTCAGGGTCTGGCTGAACCTCGCTCCCACGGTGCTAAAGTGTGAATTTCACCTGTGGGAACATCCTCCCCACATTCCTTGGGGCGGTGAGCCAGTCAGGTCGTGTTTGCCATATTTGCTATTTAGATGAAGGATATTGATTGAACTTGCAAGCAAAATAAATTGGGAGTTAATACTTTGGGAAACAGAATGAATTAGCGTGTGTGAGGACCCGGGTTTGATTCCCGCCACTGGGGGCAAATCAGAATGAAATCGAATGCTTCAGAAGTGGCCTCCCCAGGGCTGGGCATGGTGGTGCATACTTGTAGACTCAGCACTCAGGAGACTCTGGCAGGAGGATTGCCCTGAGTTTGAGACTGGTCTGGACTACATAGTGAGACCCTGTCTCAAAAACAACAAATGAAAAAAGAAAGAAGTGGGCTACTCAGATGACGTTTATTAATAGGGCCAGGAATGTAAAATCCCACAGTTTATCCATGAAACCCCCTAAATGTCTAGTTAGAGGCCCACATGGAAAAGACTTTGTGGAGAAGCCTGGGTGCCCATAGTGGTCCACAGCCCACCTGGGCTATCAGCCACTCCGTGCCCCTGGGGCCTGGGTTGACACCCAGGCATTGTGGATCCTATTCTGTGAGTGTTGGCCATGAGTGGGGCATTTAGTGAGGAGTGAACCAGCTGCATCCTATGAGGAATGTGTGAAAGACTTGGGGCGCTTAAGCTGGAGAATGGAGAATTGACGCAGACATTACCAGCAGTTCTACTGAAGTATGCATTAATATTCTGTTATTACAGATGACAGATCTATTATTACAGATGAGAACTGAGGCTTGGTGCAGTTCCTGACCTGTCCTGGTATTTGCAGCTGTGTGGCAGAGCTGCCTGACCATAGTCTGTTCATGCCTGGCCTCAGCAGAGCGCTGTCTCAGGTCGTGAGCTTGGTCTGTGTGGATCTGGGAAGCATCCTTATGCTAATTTTCTGTCCAGAAGGGAAAAGGCGGCCCTTGGAGACCGTGAGCTCCTTGACCCTAAAGGTGTCCAAGCGAGTCTTAAGAAAAAAAAAATTTTTTTTGGTGGTCCTGGGTATGAACCCAGGATTGTTGTGCTGAGCTGCACCCCTAGCCTGCTACCCCTTTTTATTTTTTATTTTGAGGCAAGGTCTCACTAAGTTGCTAAATTGTCCAGGCTGGGATCGAACTTGCAATCCTCCAGCCTCAGTCTCCCAGAGTCCTGGGATTACAGGTGTACAGCACCACTCCCACTTGCAAGTGAATCTTTAAAGATTACCCACCGGAGGGCTGGGGATTTAGCTCAGTGGTGCTGTGCCTTCCTTGCAAGCGCAAGGTCCTGAATTTGATCCATGGTACCAAAAAAAAAAAAAGGCAAAAGAAAGATCTTCTGCAGTTTGGGGGAGGGTTGAGGATATTAGGCAGTCACTGGCCTGCATGATAGCCCTGTCATTTCATTCATTCATTTCTGGGACAGGGTCTCATTATGTAGCTCAGGCCAGCCTTGAACTCACTGTGCATCCCAGGCCGTCCTTCTGCCTCAGTCTCTTGAGTGCTAGATTACAGGTGTGTGCCGCTGCACCTGGCAAGCCCTGTCATTCTGCTGGCCTCCTGCATTCTCTTGCTGCTCTGCCTCTGAGTGCTGGCCTGACCAACCATCTCTTCCACAGCTCCTCATTAAGCTGAAGACTCGAACTTCTGCAGAGTACTTCCTTGAGGCCTGTTCTCGAGAGGAGAGGGATGCCTGGGCCTTTGAGATAACGGGAGCTATTCACGCTGGGCAGCCGGGGAAGGTCCAGCAGCTCCACATACTGAGAAACTCCTTCAAGCTACCCCCTCACATCAGCCTGCAGTGAGTGCTGCCCCCTGCCCTTGCCCTGCCTGGTCTGCTGTGGCCACGCCTGTCTGTGCGCAGTGGTGCTGTGCTGTCTGCATTGTGCTTCGGGGCACAAGTTTCTCTGTGCCCAAGAAGGTCCTTGTTTGTCCTTCTTATTTGGTGTAACCTCCTGAGGCCTCTGTAACGTCCGTGACTGAGGTAGAACAGACACCCAGCTCTTCCGTTTCAGGCACATTCTTCAGGGTTACATCAGCCCCTCAGGATTCTCCATCACCAGGTCTTGTTTACAACCTGGTCACAAGAATAACATGTTATGGCAGCTGTTGCCTTCTGCTCAGTGGGTTTCTTCATTTCATTCAAGACACTGCCCAGGTGTGGTGGAGCATCCCTGTAATCCCAGCACTTGGGAGGCTGATACAGGAGAATCACCATGTGTTTGAGGCCAGTCTGGGTTCCATAGTGAGTTCAAGGCCAGCCTGAACTACATAGTGAGACCCTAGTCTCGAAGAAATAAAGAACAAAATAAAACAAAAGCCCCCAAACCAAACAAACAAGGATGTGGTAGGAGTCCATTCCTGGGCTTATAGAAACTCCACACCAGGGGCAGCTTCTGAGCCGTGGGGAGGGCACAGAGGAGCAGCAGATCAAGGTGGGAAGTGGTGGGTTCACAGGGGGTAGCACTGAGAGGTGGCTGGCGGAGTTGGCACTGAGTGTAACAGATTGTAGACAACCACACGGGCCACTGCACACTTTCCATGTGAAGTTAAGGTCCAGCTTTTTAGTCTTGCCACAAGTTGTGCCTTGTGTGGATGTCTTTGACCACCTAGATGAGCAAGAAGAAACATCTAGAATCCTGCCTCTTGAATTCCAGTGCATAACTGAAAGCACCCAGTCTCCGTGGGTTGGGTCACACTGCTTCTTGCTTTGTACCCTTAGCAGTGACTTCTGGGATCTTCCCTGTAGCTATCAGTGTGACAAGGGTCCCTTCTGTGCCTTCCTTCCATGCAGTCGCGTTGTGGACAAGATGCGTGACAGCAGCAGTGGGATCCGGTCGAGCCCCAACACGGAGCAGGGAAGCACCTACAGAAAGACCTTCTTGGGTGAGCCTGCCACCTCCCAAACCCCCACACCCCCGTGACCTGGTGCTCAGCTGAGTGCTGGAGCAGCCTTTACCGCGGCCACAGCTGCGTGCCGAGCAATGGGCTGGCCTGTGAGGGCCGCATGTGGCCTCCAGGCGGCTCTCGGGTGGAGCCTTGAGACTTGCCAGGGGGTTGAAGTCAATGAAGTCATTGACTAAACACCCTGAGGAGGTCAGGCTGTCGCCTGGGGTCTGATGGTGCTATCCTTCCCCCGTGTAGGCTCTTCGCTGGTGGACTGGCTCATCTCCAGTGGCTTCGCAGCCAGCCGTCTGGAGGCAGTGACCCTGGGCTCTATGCTGCTGGAGGAGAACTTCCTCAGGCCAGTGGGGGCTCGCAGCATGGGTGCCATCCGCTCCGGGGATCTGGCTGAGCACTTCCTGGATGAGTCCACGGCCCTGTACACTTTTGTAAGTTAGGGAGTGGGCTCCTCTTGGTGCCAGAGGGAATGAAGTGGCACAGTAGGTATGTGGGGTCCACAACCATGGGGAGAGGCCTAGGATTTGGGGGACGGCATCATCCCAAAGTTCCCTTTCCTCCTGAAGCCCCCATGGCTTTGGCCTGGGGCTTTTTTGTAACCGAATCCTCACTCCCCTTTCCACAGGCTGAGAGCTACAGGAAGAAGGTAACTCCCAAGGAGGAGATGAGTCTGAGCACCGTGGAGTTGAGCGGTGAGGTGGTCAAACAAGGCTATCTTTCTAAGCAGGTACAGCTGCCTCCACGCAGGGAGGAGAGGGACAGTGCCAGCTGGGGTTGCAGGGAGGGCGGGGATGAGCAGGTGGGGAGACATGAGAATGCTGTGGACACTCATTGCCAGCAGGAGCCCAGTGCCAGGCTCCAGAAGCAAAATAAACGCAGGCAAGGGTTGTCCTGGGCAAACGTACTTGTGTGACTATCACAGCATTCAAAGCAGCGTCTCCACAACTGCCTGGTTTTCCGTATTGGCGCCTGCCCACTTCTTGAGAGTGTTTACTCTCTGTGTTTTCCTGTCTGCTGACAGGAGTCCATTTATGTATGTATGTATATGTGTATGTGTGTGTTTTGGTGGTACTGAAGATTGAACCTAGAACCTTCACACTGAGCCACGTCCCCATCCCTTTTTAAATTTTATAGTTTTGGAGAGGGTTTCACTAAATTGCTGAGTTGACCGTATTGTGTTCAAACTTAGAATCCTCTTGCCTCAGCCTCCCAAGTGCTGGGATCACAGACATGTGCCACCACACCTGGTCTGTCTGTCCATCCTTCCTTCATTTCTCTCTTTCTTTCTTTCTTTCTTTCTTTCTTTCTTTCTTTCTTTCTTTCTTTCCTTCCTTCCTTCCTTCCTTCCTTCCTTCCT